TTGAGATACTGAATTTCTTGCCCATTACAGTGTTTTAATCGAGACACTGACATTCCTTTTTTAAAGGGATTTCATGCTTCATTTTTTCCTGCTCTGTCTCCAGAGGCAAAAAGGGGTCAGTGCAAACAACCTCTCCTAGAGCCCCACCCGGCTCAGACATTCCTGCCACGGTGCCCACCCTCCCCACCCTCCCCTCCCATCCCAGCCAGAGAACTGACATCCAACAGCTGCACTAATCTCTCCCAGTTGCTGGGAGCAACCGTGAGGGCCCTGTGACAGGGCTCTGGCCGGTGGCGGGCGGCAGCTTGCCCTCCCCACGCCCAGGAATCTAGCAGACTGCACACCGCGTCCCGACACCCTGCCCGGACTGTTCAACCAACCAGTGTGGCGTGAAGTCAGGGCGGATCCGAAGCACTTCACGGCCGGCAGGCTGGGGTGAGCGCAGAAGCTGGTGGCCGCCTTGGCTCTCAATAGCCCGAGTCCCAGAGAGGCCCCTCGGGCAGAGGGGAGAAGGGGCATCCTGACAAAGGTGCCTCCAATTTCCACGGTGGCCTGGCAGGTGGGGGGCATCTGTCCCCCCTCCCCCGTCAGCCTCCAGCACCGTTTCAACCTGCCTCCACCTGGCCAAGCCACCGACCCCTGAGACTCTTAAATACAAGATGCTGATGACTGTTTTTTTATACTCTTTCCTTACATTTAAGTGTGGGACCAATGCCATGCCATGTGAATTAGTCTGAAGGGCTCCCTGCAGAGGTGATGGGGGTGTGTACGGGGAGGGTGGTGCAGCGAAGGGAGCCAAACATTCCTTGGAACACTCGAGAATCCAGAAGAAGGAAGGTTCTGGCACCTCGCTCCACCACCCGGACGAGGGGGTGGCTTTCAGCCGGGCCTGCACGCCTGTAACAGCATTTACCCTCACCGTGCAGGTGTAGGACAGGCCCACCCCCAGCAGGGAGGGTGTACCTCCCAGAGCTCACTCGTGTTCCCCGAGGACTAATTCCTGACCTAGATTCCAGACAACCTTGCTCAGACTGAGGAGAGCCTCCACCTGGAGGAAACTGTGAAGTACCACCTTGTCCTGTGGAAAACTCAAGGGAAGCTTTACCCTACCCGCTCGGGCTCCCTCTGCTTTGACCACAGGCAACCTGTGCCCTTCCTGGTCCCGAATTTATCCCTTTCGCCTTGTTTTATAACTGCCCATTTCCTTGTTTTCTGACTCGAGGGCCCCATCTCCAACATCACTGTTTTTTTCCTTCAAGTCTGGTCAAGTGCTGGGCACACCATCAGCACTCAATCATTTGGATACATTTTAACTGAAATAATTTAAATCTATTACCCGCCCTTCTTGCATCAAGAAGCCATGCGAGACTGGACAATAACTTTTGCTAAAGGCTGCCCTCAGCAGCAGTGCCAGAGCCACGGTAACCAGACAGCTGTCACCCCTCCAGGCCCAGCCCCCCGCGAGCCCGAGACAAGTCATTCACACACAAGCCCGGGGGCCTCACCCGCCAGGCTGCTTGCTGCCCCGGCGCCCTCCCTGCCGCAGACGGGCTTGTCCGGGCCTGCGCCTGCGTGATGGGCTCTGCACACCTGAACTGTGGCTGGCTTGAACTCAGAAGGGCCGTGATTGTACCACACACCCCAAACTGCAAAGACTCTGTATGCAGCCAGGAATGCAGAACACATCACTGACAGTTTTTATACCGATTATGTGTTGACACTGTATTTTGGTATTAGTGCTATAATGAGCAAAGAAGCATGATCAATCTCGCCTATTTCTTTTTACTTTTTAAACACTAGAAAATTTAAAACACTCTGTCCATCACGTCTGATTCCAAACGCCAGCTCTCTGCCAGCCCCCCTTGTGTAGGGGGCTGTGGATTTACCGCGGGTCATGTCACGGCACAAGCATCGCCCAGCGCTGAGGGCTAGAGCTGCTCCAAGCATCTCCCTGCCTTCCTTTTGCTCTGCGCTAACATACGCTTCGTGAACTCGAAACAGGAACAGGGAACAGCCTCAGCATTTACACCAGTTTGGACTTCTCTAACACTTTTTTATTAAGGGACAACAGGCACCTTGCCAGCTTTGGGGATTGGGGGGTGGGGTGTGTGTCAGGGCAGGAGAGCGAGAAGCCAACAGCTGTTTTGAATTACAAACTTTCTGTTTAAACTGGTAGCATCCCACTGTGGTTCTGCTGCCGCTGGGGTTTGCAAATGGAGTCGGTGTCTATTTTAGCTCTCGGTTAACAAGCAGTCTCTCCCACCAGCTACTGTCACAGTTCACTGTCCGGCTAGGCCCTGCTGGCTCCTGCCTGCCCCCACGGCCTCTTCTGATAGCAGGCTATTACGTGGAACAGCAGAGCAGAGAGGAGAAGGGGGAAATTAACTATGTTCTATAATCAAGTCCCTTTGGTTTCCAGATGCAAGCCCCACCCCACATCGCAACAGCCCCTAGGCAGGGGACGGCTGGCTCACCCCCCACAAAAGATGTGCTGCGGGCACAGCATCCAGGGGCTCCAGTGGGGTGGAAGGCTGCCAAAAGGGGCTGAGTCCCCAGCAGGCTACAAAGCTCCTCCCGGAGACCCCTCACCAGACAGAAGGCACTATTCCTGAGTGGGCAAGGAAAACAGGCTGGACTTGAGGTTTGACTTCCTGGTGCATCTGCCTTGTCACAGCCTTGGGGACATGGTAAGTGAATTACCCACTGAAGTGTGCAGAATGGGACAACCGGCATCGATGCACAGCCCATCCCTGCCTCGGAGTAGCAAGCCCAGCCTGTCCCTGGGGCAGGTGCTCGTCTGGGAGGCCCCGCTCCAGGGGAGCTGACACCCTCATCCAGGCCACCACGTAAGAAGGGGACACTTGGGCTTCCTCTCTCACTGCTATATGCGGTGTTGTGTAGGCGTGTGCACCAGCTGCCCAAAAATCTCTCACCAGAGTCAAATTATTTTCCCTGTAGGATAGGATTCTCTAGAGGGGGGCAAATGGGTCGTTCCTAAGATGGTATGGGATCCTAAAGTATGAAGTGAAATAAAACACACAGTGGAGTTCCGAGATGGGCAGCACGTTCACTCTCTGTAGCGCCCGGTCGCGAGGCTGTTTGGAAGGAATGTGGGGCAGGGGCTGGGGTCCCACGTGCACTTGCTGGCTCTGCCCACGACTCACCACATGAAGCCTCACCTCTGTTTGCTTGGGTCCTCAGTTGAGAAAGCTATTTCAATATTCACCACCCACCACAAGCCCACATCCTGGGGATGCTGTGGACGTTCACGAAACCATGAACATTCCCGAACCTCTCAGGACTAGAGGGCCTGCAAAAGGAAGAGCCAAGTGCTTTTTCCTGGTGGACAGAAGGACAGCTGTTAAGAGACCAACCCCTAGACTATAAGGCCTGAAAAGGAACACGGGGATTATGTGGTCCAGCTCCCCTTCGAGGGTCACAGACAGCCGACCGAGGTCCCATATGAGCAGGATTTCTGACCACCAGCCCATACCCTCTCCTACGCGGCCAGTGGGCAATTTCGAGATGGGGGTGTTATGAAAAGACATTTTGTAGCACTTCAATGGCTCAGCAGTTTAAACTCTTCATAAATTCTTTCCCCTAATGAAAATTGTCAAGCTGATGTGATGAAGTATAATGTTATCTGACACGGCTTTAAGTTAATGTACAGTGAGGCTTTTCCCTCGACACAAAAGTCTTCAGCTGGCTCAGACCTCTTCACTCCCCAGTCACAACCCAACATGTGCCCTGAGGAAGGAAAGCTGGTCCATACATCGGCAAGTCCAACAGGTATCCAGACTCCTACTCCCAAGCTGCCTCCCGAAAGCCTGTGCTGCAGGTGTGCATGCGCTCGCCCCTGCTCTGGGAGAAGCTTCAGCCACGCCTTGCAGGACACGACCTTCCCATCATGTTGCTCCCCTGTGGCACCTGGTTGTTCTAAGTGCTTAAAAACCATGGCAGGAACATTTTAAAAGTGGCAGGTCTGGGGCGCCTGGGTGGCTCAGTCGTTAAGCGTCTGCCTTCGGCTCAGGTCATGATCCCAGGGTCCTGGGATCGAGCCCCGCATCGGGCTCCCTGCTCAGCGGGAGACTGCTTCTCCCTCTCCCACTCCCCCTGCTTGTGTTCCCTCTCACTGTGTCTCTGTCAAATAAATAAATAGAATCTTTAAAAAAAAAAAAAAAAAAAGAAGTGGCAAGTCCACCGCAAACGTCCTAAGCCTGTCTGCCACTAAGAACACAGGACTTGCTGCCTGATGAGAAAGTTTTGCGAGAAGATGGGGAAGGAAAGCTGAGGGCGCCCCATCCACAGCCCCGCCCTGAACGCTGCTAGGGAGTCCGAGCAGCATCCACCGTCTCTGCCTGGATAGGGGAAGGCCTACCAAACCCAGAGCCAGCAACCTAGACCAGCAGAACAATCAGCTCTCAACGTTTGCCTGTGACGGGCATCACATGGGGCCGAGTGTCTTGCACGAAGTAGAACTCTTCTTACTCCAAAAGGTTTTTTTTAGGTTTCTGTGCTACCAGTCCCATCCAGCTGAAACGATGGTGAGTAGCTGGTATGCCCTTCCGTCCCCAACAGACACTTGTGCACAGCTAACAATCATTGCTAACAAGCGACACGTCTTGCATAACAGAAAATGTGCTTGCTGCTTGGAAGCCCCCCATCATGGGAGACGCCCTGTGCACGGGGCACTCAGGGCAACTGCTCTGGGGGCCTCACCAGCAGCGAAAAGGAAGCACAGCGAACCTCGGTGAGCACATCCTGTGGCTCCGGCCACTTTCCTCCTTCTCCTGCCACTTGTCGACAAAGCCTGGCTTCCCCGCATCCTCCTCCTTTCTCAGCTGCCTGGCTTGTCACCAAACCCAAGGCGAATTCCTTTAGCTCAGTTCGGAGGACCGGGGGGGCGGGGGTTGGGGGGCGGTGAGGATCTGTCCTAAGTCCGAGGACACAGGAATGAAAAAAGAGCTTTCCAGAGGACAGGTGCGTTCCCTTTCTCTTACCTTAGTGGATTATCTGAGTGGGTCTCCATGTGGGTCTCCAATCCATACTTGCAAACAAACTCCTTGAAGCATATGGGGCAGTGAAACACTTCATCGACCTTCTCCAAGTCACCCGACTGCCCATCTTCCACCATCTTGGGGGAAAAGAAAAAAGTGAATTCATGAAGGAGGTCTCCCACACGAGTTTGCTTCAGAAGAGAAGCCAATACTCAATATGGATCTACAGGGAGGCCTCCCTCCTAAGGATTAAGGAGGCCACTGACCAGTCTTTCATCCATGCAACAAATCCTCACCGAATGCTTCCATCCATCCACCTTCAACCCAATCATCCCTTTAATCCACGCTTATGGAGCACCTAGTATCTGACAGGGACAGAGACTAATAGGAGTCCCTAAGACGTAGGAAGCTTCCACTCCAGGTGGAGAAACCAAAAAGCACAGAGCAATGAAACAAGCCCCTCATTTCACGGGGCTCAGCGAGGGGGGCCCACAGAGATGTGCACACAGGTATGCTTTCCTGCAGACACCTTGCAAAAACAGTGTGGGGAAAACACAGGTTAAAAGCTTAGGATGGATGTCTGCCAAGTCCCCAGACTGTGAGTATAAAGACTAGAGGTATTTCTGCCAGGAGTCCCGTGGTTAGGCACATCGGCGTGCGGGGGATTGGGGGAAGGTGGCGAGAACCTTTTTAGCAGGTGCTGGGTCTTCCTTCTCTGACTCGGCATCATGACTTAGTTTCCTCTTGGAGGACAGCCGCCGGCGCTTCAGTGGGGATGGGGGGGCCGTAGCTGCAGCACTGTTAGGATCCTTCTCATGAATCTTCATATGTCTGGAAAGAACACACATACACACACACACACACACACACACACACAATGTGATTTGGCAAAAAACTGAGTTGGTTGATTTCTTTTACATTTTTTGTATTATACGTTTAGGTGTTGGTACTTGAATTTTCTTTAAGGTAGACAGTAGGATTTATACAGTGATTGCTCTCCTTTTAAAGCCCTCTCTGATCTCCCTGAAGCCCTCCATAAAGCTCTCACAAGCACTATCCAAAAATGTTGCTCAATGCTTTGCTGTCTGTTGGAAGACATTCATGAACTTCACTGACACTAACGAGATGAAAAAAACCATCTGATTGCCTCTTCTACTTATTCAGACAAAAGGTACTATTTCAGAACACACGATTCTATAAAGAACTCCCAGATACGGCCGGTTCACACATCAAGTAATCACTCTGCATTTACCCCCAGAACCCATCTCGCAAATGCCAGCAGTACGTGTTCCTTCTCCTCTGCTTTCGAAGGCATGCTGAGGGTCAAATCTGAGAAGTGCTAACCCAGCAAATGTCTGGAGTGAACCTAAAACGCTTTCCATGTTGTGCATGGTATTACACGGATTCATAGACAGTGAGGGTAGCTGAGCAACGGAATGAACAGGTTGCACGTTGTGACCCTGACGTCTGCAGGGTCAGGAACACACGTGTGAGAAGGCATTACATAGAGTCAGTCTGCCTGCCCCGAAAAGAAAGCTTTATGGGTGACCTCACTTAGGTGGCCTTACTTTATCAAGTTCTAAGGAAACACCCTAAGAACACGGTCCTAAGGCCCATAAGGAGAGAGAGAGAGAGAGAGAGATTACAGAAAGACAGTCAGTCTCAATTTCCTTCCTTTGTGACATAAAGGGTTTGGTTTTCCTAATGACAATCGTCATCACCATCATCATCTTTGACTGGGGTTAAACTGTGCCAGATGTAGGAAAGAAGTCCCAGCCTTTTAGAAAGAGCTCTTTCACTGGATTATCTCACTGGGGAAGCACTTAGGAATGGGGAAAGACGGTGAGGCTTCCAGAAAGAGTCCCGTCACACTTCCAGAAAGAAGCGCAGCTCAGTTCCGCTCCTTCTTTAGAGGGCCCGGGCCGGGGATGACAAGGCTAAGAAGCCTGCGAACCACAAGCTGGGGCAGAAATTCAGGCGCGTGGGCCAATGGTGCAAAGAGATGGCTAGATAAAGCCTTCCCCCACCAACAGCCCTGCCCCATGCTACCCATGGGTGTGTGGGGGTGAGACCCTGGGTGTCTCCTGTTCTGTCCTACAGACATACTTTAGGAGGCGGAGGGCCCCCACACTAGCCCTGACCATCTCTTCCCTGGCCCACAGCATGTCAGCCCAGCCATCCGCCAGCACGCTGGATGTGGCCTAGCCCTGGAGGAGATGGGCCTCAGGCCAAACCTCTGTTCTCTGGGTTGGAGGGCTCGGGGTGGGGAGTGGGGGGGTCAGTGTGGTGGAGCAGGAAGATTGAAAGGGAACAAATGGAAAAGAACCACAGACAACCACCATGCCCATGTCCACCTAATTTCTTGCTGAGATTATCCAGATGGATGCTTTATTATTACTTCTTGGTCACCTGAAGCCCCAGGAAAGTTCCTGGGAACCAAGCGCCTCGTTCTAAGTATCCCCTTCTAGTCCAAGCTGACTGAGATTTAGAGACTACTATCAGTGTTTAGATGGAAAAAGGAAAACGCTAGCAAGTTTCTTTTGATATTTACTGTATCACATATTCCAGTTTTAGAAATGTAAAAAAAAAAAAAATGTTTAAAGCACCTAAGAACTGAGGAAGTACGAAAAGTACTATGGGATGTAAATTAACACCAAACCCTGTCAATAAATCATTCAAAAATTAAGTTAAAGATTGGGGCGCCTGGGTGGCTCAGTCGTTAAGCATCTGCCTTCGGCTCAGGTCATGATCCCAGGGTCCTGGGATCGAGCCCCACATCGGGCTCCCTGCTCGGCGGGAAGCCTGCTTCTCCCTCTCCCACTCCCCCTGCTTGTGTTCTCTCTCTCTCTCTGTCTCTGTCAAATAAATAAATAAAATCTTTAAAAAAAAAAAAATTAAGTTAAAGATGAGTACCTTCTCTACAGCCGATGGGTGACTTGAGCCCATGAACATGAGGCCACAGGTAACCTCAGAGAATACTGGAAATCTGAGCCTGACAACCAACCCTAAGCAGCTCACTAGCTCACTTCAAGCTACGCCTTTTCTTTTTTTTTTTTTTTTTAAAGATTTTATTTATTTATTTGAGAGAGAGAATGAGAGAGAGAGAACACATGAGAGGGAAGAGGGTCAGAGGGAGAAGCAGACTCCCTGCCGAGCAGGGAGCCCAATGCGGGACTCGATCCCGGGACTCCAGGATCATGACCTGAGCCGAAGGCAGTCGCTTAACCGACTGAGCCACCCAGGCGCCCAAGCTACGCCTTTTCTATCATAGGATCCGCATTTTTACAAAGCGATGCTTTATTATCTAGTTCTGGAATGTGTGACCGGAGCGGTTTCCACAGGGCAGAGCATGAGGGAGGATAACAGTGAGCACACAGAGAGGACCCGGTGGGAAGTTTACAGATTCTCATTTCTATTCTGCAGACGAGGCCACGCAAGTGTGCCAGGTGCGCCCACTGCGGAGCCCGGGCTTTCCCCCCAGGCTGCTTTCTAAGGCCAAGCCTTTGATCTACGTTCTGGAACCTCAGGGCTCCAGCCTGACCCTGGACACTTCCTCTCTGAGTGACTGTAGTCCAAGGCCTAGCACTTGGTACCAAGCTCTAGCCAGACACCAAGAGAATGAAAGAAATCATTCCCCGCCCCCGGTCCCGCCTCTTATTCTGAAAAACCGGGGCTGCCCTTGAGCTGCATCGTTGCTAAAGGCAGGAAAAGAAGACCAGATCAAAGCAGTCTCAAAGGGCTTGGTGGCAAGCTCGTCAACCCACTCCAGTTCTCTGAGGCCTTTGGAGCCTCAAGTTCAAAGCTCCAGCGTGCTCCCTTCTGGGGTTCATGGCCAAGACACAGGGAGTTTCCAATCTCTTCGGCAACATGGTGACCAAGAGCTGCAGGCTCATGAACCCAACTCAGTCAAGAGTTCAGCTGCCAGGGTCTGGGAGCCTCAGCCATTTCTTAAGTTGGATGTGATCTGTAGTTGAGAGTCCGTCTAACCTGACCCCTTCCCTTCTTCCCAGGGCTCCAACAGTAGGAGTGACAACATTAACTGTCCACTTCCTCCCGAACGCTCACAGGAAGTGGGGCGTGTCACCAAAATGAGCCAGTAATGGCCTCTTCCTCACAGAGTGTGGCCAAAGCAGACACGGGGGCTGGCGGGGAGGGCAATTCTAGGTCCCTTCTTTAGAAGGCTTGGGTCTGTTTTTCTCTCAGGTTTTATTTCAAGGACAAATGCTTCTCGTTTCCATGTACCCTAAGAACCAGTAAACTACAAGCCTCAGAACTGGCAGGGAGTTGAGATGCTAGCCAGCCTCCCCCTCAGCACACCAGACAGATCGGCATTTCATGATGCTTCAACACTTTTCCATTCGCAACGATGCTAAATATTAAAACCATCTTTCCCATGTTGAGCCAAAAATCCCATCCTTCCTTTAAATGTCTATCTGTCCTCGGGGGCAACGTCCATTCAAGTCTACATTCTCACCTAGACGGCAGCTCTTCAATTAATTCAAAAGGACTACTGTGTTTCTTGAAAGTTTCTCTTCCCTAAACCGGACAACTCCGGCTCCTCCAGCCAGCCCCTGCAGGCTCTGCTCTCAATGCTGCTGAATTATACTGGTCACTCCTAACCTTGGGATGCGCCCCGGTGTGATATCCTTTCTGCCACACTGGATCAGAAGAAGCGGCAATCTGGGTGTGGCCTGAGGGTGCAAGGCATAGGACCGGGGCGACCACCTCTGCAGGTGGCGTAAACAGAGCTGGGGTTCCCGCATGCGTGTTCAACAGTGATGTCACACCCTCAGTTCCAACTAAGATCCCCGTGACTTCTTCACTCCAACTGCCATCAAGCCCCATCTCCTCTACTCTACACTTGAGCACTTTCCAACTTTTCATCTGCCAGACTGGCAGGGATGAGAAATGAGCAGAGTTGGTGTGGCTCTCACACTGGTGATGGGAGTAAAAATGGTAATGACCTTTCTGCAATGCGGCTGAGCAACAGGGAGCAGAATTTTAAGTATGTGTGCCCTTTACCCCAGTAATTCCACTTCCAGAAATTTGTCTTGAAGATTAAGAGTTGAACAAATGTGCAAGCATTTACGCACAAGGACTGAGGTACCTTTATAACTCAGGGATGGATAACACTGCAAAAAACACCCGCGACGACAGCATTTTCAACTGGCTGGTCTTAATATTTTAAACTGATACTTCCCTGATTTCCCTCTGGCCCTGCTACCATGCCTTCTCCACCCCACAGCCAGACTGAGCTTCTAAAACACAGCTCACCTCATACCACTGCCCTGCTCACAGGCCTGACAGTTCCCTTCCTAGAACTGAATCTGGCCTCGGCCTATTTCTCAGGCCTCATTTGTTGGCACCCTATCCTGATCTCAAGGCCCTTGCTGACATACTGGTTCTCTCTGGGAGAGAGGACCCAGGGCTGGTACACTTGCTGTTCCTTCTGGCTCGGCTGCTCTACCTCAGGACCCCTAGGGCTGGTGCCGGCCATTCAAGCTCCACGGCAAGTGTCCCACCGCACTCACACAGAGGCTCCCAAGCCCACCACCCTGCTTTACCTTCCTCACAGAACATACCAGAAACTGAAAATACTGTGTATTTCAATTATTTGTCTCCTCGGCCTCAATCAAAAATAAGTTTCATCAGGGCCTTGTCTCTCTCGTTCTCTGCACAGGCCCTTGGTGGCACATACTAGGTAGTGGATAAATATCTGCCAAATGGCTGAATGGCCGGACAGATGAATGCATGAAGGACATGCAGAAAACGTGTCCACTTGCACTATCACTCCAACCATGTCCTCAGCCTCCAAGAAACCTCATAATTAA